CCGCTGGAAAACAGCAAACATAATCCTTATCCCAAAACCCAACAAAGATCACACCATCCCATCCAACTACCGGCCCATTAGCCTGCTCCCGGCTATGAGCAAAGTGGTAGAAAAAATTATCCTAACCCGTCTAAGAACCCACTCCCAAGAACTGCAAGTCATTCCAGACGAGCAGTTCGCCTTCCGACCCAATCACTCCACTGAACTCCAAATCCTTCGCCTTACCGAGCACATCACGGCGGCCTTCAACAGGGGACAGTACACTGGTGCTGTCTTCCTGGACGTCGCAAAGGCCTTCGATACGGTTTGGCATGAAGGCCTACTGATGAAAATGCTCACCAACCAATATCCCATATCCTTTACCAAACTCATAAAATCCTACCTACACCACCGAAAATTCCGCATCCAAATCCAAGATTCCCTTTCCACCACCCGTCCCATGGAGGCCGGTGTCCCCCAGGGCACCGTCCTGTCCCCACACCTATACACCATTTACAACTCCGACATCCCACATCCCCCCAACACCAACATATACTTATACGCCGACGACCTGACAATCACATCCCAATCCGTAGATCCTAGATATTCCGTCTCCCTCCTCCAAAACTCCATAAACCAACTTGAAACCTGGTGCAACAGGTGGAAAGTCAAAATTAATCCCAACAAAAGGTCGGCTATCCTTTTTACCATACGAAAAATTCCTCAAAATCTCGACAGACTGACACTATCCCAGGAACCCATCTCCTGGAATCGACAAACACGATACCTGTGTGTGACGATGGACCAGCGTCTCACGTGGAAACCGCACATCGTGGAGACGATGGCGCGAGCGAAGACCACCAGGGCTAGGCTCTATCCCTTACTCAAAGGTGGAAACACCCTCAGTTTAAGGAATAAGCGAACGCTTATCAAGGTGGTGCTTCAACCGCAGCTAACCTACGCCTCCACGGCGTGGGGTCACGCGGCAAAAAGCCACTTAAAGTCATTACAGGCTGTGGAAAACATAGCCCTCCGCACGGCCTCCGACGCGCCCTGGTACGTAAGAAACACTGACATATTACGAGACTTACAATACACAAACGCTACACAGACAATAAGACAAAACGCGGAGAAACGGTTTGACGTAGCCGCTAGACATGACAATCCCCTCCTCAGGCAAGCCGTTGACTACGTACCCGATGTGACCGACAAACACAAAAGACCTAGACACCAACTTTTTGACCCTGGGTGACCACCCCAACGACATCCCCTCCTGCCCGCTAACTTTTCTGTTTCAGAGACAGCCAGGATCAAGAAACGAAGACAACGACACACACACACACACATACACACCCCCCATACCCTCCTTACCCCTCCCCTCCCGCGCTAGCCTAAGGGCCACCTTAGCAAAGCGCATCCCAGGCTGCATAGCCGCACTACCCTACCCAACCATACCACACATAAACATGACACCACCCCCGGGGTTTACACAGACGAGCCGGCGAAGCAAGAAGAGCGCCAGAAGAAAGGGCCCTAGCCGGCGGGGCCCAGCCAGGACAAAAGGAGGTCCCACAAAGCGCCTACACCGGCCGCATTTGCGGTCGGGGTAGACGACGGATGGGGCCCACCTACGAAGGCTGTCCAGGCCTACACGAGATGAGGCAGGATAAAGAGGGATAATCCTCCTCGATCCTAAATCATTGAGGCCAATTTCTAGCCATGGAATAATGGCGCGTGTGGCGATCGAGATTGGCTTCGCAATTATCTCGAAATCGATAAAACGACATCAAGATTTCAGGAGTCCCGCTGCTATAGTATTTTAAAAATCAAATAAATCTTCTGTAAGCATCGAAGGAACCTAAGAAAAACAAATATCTAAATATATGGAATTGTTGGCGATATTGTGGAATTTTGACAGAATCAGTGTATACTTTATGTCGGCATCATTGGCAACACTGGTTGTGGTGTGGCGTCAACGTCGCGTCTGTTTAATTTTTAGCTTGTTGTTACCTCATTTGTCTATGGCTTGTTGCGTGCCTAGGTTGCGTGGTTTGTTTGTAGCTGTTGGACAGTATTCGGTATTCACTTTACGACATTAAATTTTGATTTAGGAGCCATCTTTGTAATTTGGTGAGTGTAAATTTCAAAAAATATACAGATAATCCTTTGAAGAAATATCATTTTTATATGAAAATGGTTGAAGCCGAATATATTGCGATAATGTTCTGCACATATTTTCTTTTTGTCTTAATTGTGAGTTGATATAATTTTATGTGTGCCGTAGTTTACATTATAAAAAAGCACAATGGCTGACGCTGATGATCTATTAGATTATGAAGATGAAGAAAATCCAGAGCAAACTGCAACAGAAAGCGTGGGAACGGAACCGCAAAAAAAGGGTGTAAAAGGTACTTATGTCTCGATTCACAGTTCCGGATTTAGAGATTTTCTGTTAAAACCCGAAATTTTAAGAGCAATTGTGGACTGCGGCTTTGAACATCCCTCTGAAGGTAAGAATTATAGTACATATTTTGGGGTTATAATCTTAATGAACTTTATTTAACAGTACAGCATGAGTGTATACCACAAGCTGTTATTGGAATGGATATTTTGTGCCAAGCAAAGTCTGGTATGGGTAAAACGGCAGTATTTGTATTAGCTACCCTGCAGCAATTGGAACCCACAGAAAATGTTGTTTATGTTCTCGTAATGTGCCATACACGTGAACTTGCTTTTCAAATTAGTAAGGAATATGAAAGATTCAGTAAATATATGCCTGCAATTAAAGTAGGTGTATTCTTTGGTGGCCTCCCTATTCAAAAGGATGAAGAAGTGTTAAAGAATAATTGCCCTCATATTGTAGTTGGGACCCCTGGTCGAATTTTAGCTCTTGTCAGATCTAAGAAACTGAATCTAAAACATCTAAAACATTTTATTCTTGACGAATGTGACAAAATGCTGGAATTATTAGGTAAGTTCATATTAATATGTTTTACAGTAGAACCTCGATTATCCGGGTCGGCTGGGACCAAACCGTTGCTGAATAATTGAAAACACGGTTAATTGAAATTATGCTCAAACTCGCCAAGTTTGCAATGGTAATTATTTACTTTGGTGGCACCACCTCCAATTTTCACAAAATTTTGTCTACCCCCCCCTATTTTCGATGGTGCTGAACACGAATCTGAAGTTTTTTTGTGCGGTCGAACCCAGTTTTTGAGAAAAAAATGTTTCAAAATTCTAACCTGAATATTTCAGATAACACTATGTAAAACTGTATATTTTATGTAGCTTTCAGAACATCTGTAATAAACAATGAACATTGTTTAAGAAACACATTTTCCCAAAGAACTAGTTATAATACACAAAAAATATTTTGAATATGTTGGAAATGTAATGTTCACACTATTAAAACCAGTGGATAAAACAACACTAAAATCATTTAAAATTTTGGAAAAAATTCTTATCAAAACATTTAAATTTTCTCTAACCTTAAACATTGAATGGCCATATGGTGGCAAGGAACAAAAAGGTTTGTTTCATCCCACTGTTTCATATACCCTGCGTGTTTTCCGTAATATTTTTCAACAAGTGCAGACAGCGGAAGCACACTGGAGGGACTGAATCAGAAAATATTAAGTCCCAGTGCACTAGCTTGTCAGCTTTATTGCCATTGCACCGCTCGTATCCCTTGACCCAGCATACAGATGCTATTGCAAACTGAGGCCAGGACCAGTGACTGGTGGCATTTCCATACTGACCTGGTCATTATCTTATGATTACATAAAATAAGTAATGCTTATCTATTGTCTAGATTCTAATGGTTTTACCCGCAGTGCACCTACGCGCAATTTCTTTGGCGGCTATGGTTATACCTGCTAATTCCGTTTGTAGCATGCACATCCATAAAATAATTTGTCCTATTACCTGATTCGCACAAACATCTCATTTTTTTGTTTTAAAATATGTAAGTCGATTACTAAAACAGGTCAACCGTAAAAACACAGCATAAGTAAGTTTTTTTTAGTTAATATTGCGACGATATTGCACAAGAAAGGCATTTAAGGGAAAATCTACTGGAAAGGACAATCTTTTTGTGTTAATTAAACACTTGAAGCATATTCCTACATACAGTTCTCATAATATTTCGTTTGTTCATAATTTTCGAGATCAGAAAAAGAAAAGAAAGGAAGCTAGATGCTTAAAAAATTTATGCTTCCCATTTTTTTATGATAGCTACCATTCTGGCTCGTGCCACACTGCGTAAAATGTCAAATACTAACATAAATATAAAATAAAAGAACATCCTACCAGACCTCGTTTGTTTTTTTTTAATGAAATCTTATTGTTAATTCATAATAAATATTGTTTATCAACCAATTGTGCATTTTAATGAAATATTTGAAGAATATTCCTACATATACATAAGTATTTATTATAATTTTCGAGTTGAAAAAAATATTAAAAAACCGTATGGTGCGTTTTGAAAAAAAAAAAAAAGTCACGCGACGGACTTGAATCAGCGATCTCGTGACTGTCAGTCCCGAAAGCTACCAATCAGTCCACGCTCCCAGTTGAAGAATGTGAATCTAGTGGATTTACCTGTCGGGTAAAACTTCAAAATTGATTATCTCGGTAATTTATGAACGTTGCGTTAAACTACTTCGAAAAATTCTTATTCAAGGTCCAAACTACACGTACCATAAATATCAAAAATTACAAAAATCCGACTACCTTACCTACTCCTTGTTAAAGCAGACAGAAATTCTAAAAAATAAGTAAACTTTTATTTTAAATTCAAATAAAAATAGCTTAAAACAATTTTCGGGTTGGTTGCTACGTCGTCAGTTTAGGTTTCTTAACATTTCGAGAGACGTGACATCGCTCTCTTTCTCAGAAGTAACTGAAAATTTTCGAGTTTTTTAAAAGAGCGATATGGCTCTCGAAACATCAAGAAACCTAAACCGACGACGTGACAACCGGTTCAGAAATTGTTGTACTATTAACAACTGCCTGGGTAGCCTGCAAACCAAATAAAAGTAGCTTTGACATGTCATATTCATTGAGTATACTTTTATCATAGGGGTAAAAATAAATAACTGACCGTATTTCACATAATAAAGACAAATTATACACAATGATTTATTTCAACTTAAGAAATCAGTTCATATGATAAAAAAGTATAAAATCAAGAGGACATAATTTGATTCTTCACTATATAGAATATTTTACATTGGATTGTAGTTTTTAAGGGTAGGGAACGCAACACTTCATATGAGTATATTCGTATTATCCATGAAAGGCTCCTATAAAAATTAGGCAGTGACTGTATGCATAACTATTTAAACGCTATTATAAAATTGTAGCTACATCCGTCACAACCGGTTAAGGGGTTAAAATAACGAAGTTGCTATATCAACTTCTAGTGTAACTGGAAAAAATGGGGAAAATATTTTAGTTAAATCTTAGGGTTAAAAATCTAGGCCTACAAATTTTGAAATTTTTAGATTTCTAGTACAATACATTTTTCATATGCTTTGGTATAAAGCACAATTTTCATGCTATAAACTATACAAGGTGTAACTTTGAGTGGGGTCATCAACAATTAATTTTTTTCAAATTCCGGCGTGAAGACTTATCCTTTTTTTTTTCACAATTTTCTTGCCCCACCCCTGGACAAGATAATGTAACTTACAAACTATGGTGCCCTTTAGTCATAGAGCATGCACAATTTTAGGAGGTGGTTACCAAAGTTATTTTTATGAAAAAAAGTTCATATAAACGTAGGTCGAAATATGCTTCGTTTCTGAGATACAGTATTTAAAATTTAATTTTTTATTTATTTTTATTAATTAAGTATTTCAAAGAGTTTTGAACATCCTGTATCTCAAAATCGAAAAACTTTTTGCCCACATTCAAATCAACTTTTTATTTTCAATATTGAATTTTTACTTTGACCACGCTTTATTAAAAGAGACCCTTAAGGAGGTTCTATACCGAAAAAAATTTGTAAGAAAGTTTTCAAAACATTGAAATCTGTTAATAAATATACAAACTGCCTCGTGTAAAAATATCAGATCAATTTTCATTGTAGTTTTTTTGAAAAATTAAAAATTATGCTCATACACAGATGGCTCTTATGGGAGTTGGGGAGAAAATTTTAATTTAAACGTTAATATTGCTTTTAAAAATGGTTAAGAACAGGAAAATAAAATTGTAATTAAAGAATTAAATATTACTAAACATTTTAAAACAATAAAAATATGCACTTACAATGTAATTATTAAGTTAATGGATGAATAGATAATAGACTAAGAGCCGGAAAGGAAAATTTCCCTAATCATTTTAGGCACTGTAAGAGTCTACAGGGTGTCTCACATTTAAATAGCAGGACTTCAGGAATCAGTAGAAGACCTCATTTTGAGTCTAAAAGTTCCTATATACAGGGTGTCTCACATTTAAATAGCAGGACTTCAGGAATCAGTAGAAGACCTCATTTTGAGTCTAAAAGTTCCTATATATATATATGGGTCCTAAAACGCTTCGTTTTTGAGATACAGAGCGTTCAATTTTATTTTTGTTTTATTTATTTATTTTTTAAGTAAATAACCGCTGACAAAAAAAATCATCATGTTGCGGCGAGAGGCTTAGTATTTGAGGGCAAATAATTTGACACAGAAAATCATCGCATATTAGTTACAGTGGTAGAGATAGAGGGGTCTATGCATATTTTTATAAAAAAAAAAGTATAGCCGATTTGATATTTTGCAAATGTTTTCGAAAAATATGAAGGAGCTTTCAATTTTACCCAGAAAAGGCCCTTTTGTCCAAAGTCGATAGGAGGCGTTTTCAAGAAAAACCGAAAATACTGTTTAGAAGTCAAATTAAGAAAAACCGAAAATACTGTTTAGAAATCAAATCAGACTTGAAATGTCATTCTAATATTGACATTTGCGCTTATTTTATTATAGTTTCTAATTGTGTGTAGAGTATTAAAAAAAATTGCAACAAATTCAAAATGCCGTTTAAGTTTACGAACCAAGAATACGCAGATATTCACTTCGTATACGGGTTTGCCAATGGGAACTCGGCAGAAGCTGCTAGGGAATATCGGAGACGATTTCCTAATAGAAGACAGCCGCATCCACACGTTTTTATTAATATTCATCAACGTTTCGCTAATGACGGATTGAATCTGGTCCATAGGGATCGCAACATAATTAACGTTAATATTGGCAGAAATAGGAGGAATCAGCGAATCTTGCACGAATTTGACAGAGATCCCACGACGAGTACCAGAAAAATTTCCAGGATTATTGGTGTTTCCAGGTGCACTATTTCTAGAACATTAAGACGAGATCATAGACATCCCTACCACTTACAACCTGTTCAGGGTTTACGTCCGGGTGACGAGGAACATAGAATAGCTTTTTCTCGGTGGATTCTTAACTCAATTGAAAACGACGGAAATTTTTTATCACACATATTATGGACCGACGAGTCATGTTTTACTCGTCGAGGTGTGACAAATTTACACAATCAGCATGAGTGGGCACATGAAAACCCGCATGCAATCAGACCACGAAATTTTCAGCACGAATTTAGTGTTAATATTTGGCTCGGCGTTTATAACAATTGTCTTTTCGGCCCTTACATCTTACCTCAACGACTGAATTCTGCGAATTTCTTAGAGTTCTTAGAAACCGAGAGTGCCAACATGTGTGAGGAAATTCCTCTGAATTTAAGAATGCGAGCATGGTTTCAACTTGATGGCTGTCCAGCTCATTTTGGCCGAAATGTCAGGAACTGGTTGAACACCCACTTTCCCAAAAAGATCAGATCCTCTGATCTGACGCCCCTAGATTTTTTCCTCTGGGGTTTTACTAAAGAGAGAGTTTATACCACTACTGTGGACACAAGGGATGAACTTATTCGTCGGATTCGGAACGCATGCAGTGAAATCAGAGACAATAACTTCATTCAAATGAGACGTTCTATTCAGCGTCGGTGTCAGTTATGTATCGAAGAAAATGGTTTACATTTCGAACATTTACTTTGATGTAATATGGTTTTCGTTATTTATTTTTGTATTTCTTTTCATTTAACTAGTTAAAGACAATTTTAACCGAATTTTTGAACTACATATTTAATTTAGTTGTAACACAATGTTTAATAGTATATTACGTAATAAGTGTTGTAAAAAGCATTTTACGCACGAATGGGAAAGTTACGCAAGACGCCGCGTAGCGGCGAGTGCGTAATTCTATGAGTGCGTAATTGCATTACATCACGTATTACGTACTATACTTTACCTACGACCACTACTTTAAATACTTAACACCGTCTGCGATCAATGCAAGATTCCTATTACGTCGTATTCACGGCCAATTGTTTTTTTCTGGTGCCAAAAATTTTGTATGGCACTTTTGTATAAAGACTATAAAGTGGAATAACTTGCTTCCGAAATTTATGCCATTCAGGAAATAATTATTTTTACCTCGAGAAAAATGGCGTTAACTTCAGAGCACTCACAATTATGTAATAAATTTTTTTTAGCCAAATATTTTGTACGACACATATTTTTCGTTATTTTAGAGCATAAGTAAAACTCTGAAATTGGTGCAGTACATTTCTCAATAATTTTTTGGAATAGGGGTTGAAATGAGAAAATTTGTGTTAGGGTAAAAGCTCTTAGAGCCAGTGCATTCGTACGGCATAGTAAAATACAACTTTCCAATAAATATCTTTATTTAAAATCAGGCACGCTGTACAGTTTTCTATTTTACATTAGTAAAAATATTTGGAAAATGAAAATTATTTATTCTTTCCAGAACCGTTATTTTTGTACAGCATAAGGATTTTATGTCTTATTTTTTTAATGTCTTGGGTTGAAATGCCGTCAATTTCTATTTAATTAATTTACCCGGCCCAAAATTGGAAAGTTTGATTTTCCGCTGACCACCCATGTGCCACGGAGAATTGATGGCACAGTGCTCAAATATTTTCATTTAGGTTGTAGTATTTAAGTCATAGACTCTTATGGTGCCTAAAATGATAAGAAAAATTTTCCTGCTCATAGTCTGTAACGTTTTGATAAATTTGAACAAACATCTGATCCAATGAAAGGAAATATGGCAACACTGTACGCTATATTTAACGCTTCGACTGACG